ATGGCTTTGACTAAAGTCTCCAAATCATTCTTCTCGGCTGATGAGATAATACCCGTCAAGTCGACTGCGCGGCGTTGGCTATGATTGCCGCCTCCACGTCCCCGAGCCATGATGAACGTTTTGGTTCGCCTGAACAGGGCTTTTCTTCAGAAAATGGAAGTGTCGTGCCGTGCCGAAATTCAGTGTCTACTTCTCGAATGTCCACTTCTAAGAGGATGATCGTTTGATTCGATAACCCGTGGGCGTTAAGAGACTGAGCTATTGAGGTCTGAAAGGGGGGATGCAGATCTCTGGCAAACAAGCAGTTGAGTAGTGGATGTTGAGATTCGGGGTAACTGCCAGTGAGGATGGCCGGACGAAATATCAGTTGGTTATGACGATGGAAATAGCAATCAAAGAGGTCGGATTCCGCGAGAGTAGATGAACCTGTGATGTGTCTGAAGAAGTAACAGGCATATCAACCCCGTGATAGAGAATGGGGGATCAAGATTGATGGATGTGCGAGTTGAGGGTAGAAGAGAGGAGAGAAGAAGAATCAGAAGATGGAAGAAGCGAGAAGAAGGAATGGAGATGAAACAAACAGAATCTGAAAAGAAGGTGAGCCGAAAAGGCCGTGGGAAGGAACGCTGGTGAATTTGGGACTGGCCGGCCGCCAGGTGGCTGCCAGTCGTTGCTTCCGAAACGGAGGGCAGGAGCAGATTCATGCATGCAAGTCATTGAGGGAAGGAGCAGAATGGAGGTGAGAGATTGAAAGAGAGAGAGGGGGAAGGAGGTGGTTAAAAGAAGAAAGGAAGGAAGAAGGATAGAAGAAAGGAAAGAAGGAAAGAAGAAAAAGAAAAGAGGAACAACTGGTAAAAGGATTATTCTCTCACTGCACTGTAATACAAAAGACAAAGGCCGGTCTAACAGTCAAAAGGTCTGGATCCAACAAATAAACACAGCCGCATGGAAGTATGGGAGGGTAAAGGGCAAACAAAGGCGAAGTCACTGCATCACGTACGAGAGCGGAATGCGAAAGACCATAAACGGCTTCACTTCCCTTTGTACTCTGGGCTAGCAAACTGCATACAATACCTAAGACCTTAGGTGATAAGCAGTCAACGCAGCTACAAAAACAATCGCATATGATAAAGAAGGGCAACAAAAGAAAAAACTCACCATGACAATAATAATACAATCGCCGGCGGAGGACAAGGGCAAAAAACATCACAAGGCCAAGCTGCCAGAGCTCCGGCTACCCAAGAATCCGCATGGCGTCTGCAGCGGCTCCGCGTCCCGTGCTGGCCACTGCATGTTAGGAGCCGTCGCCTTGGTCTGCGTACGCAGGTTGAGCAATAAGTTACTCCCGTGCGGGTCTCGATGAAGTGCCGAATCTATGAATGGGAAGAAAGGGTGAGAAGGTTGGGCGAAAGAGAAGAGGACAAAGAAGGGAAAGATATAAGAAAGGAGCAGACAACAAAGACGCAGGGTTGAGGCTTATAGGGGCATCATAATCGGCATTTTGAAGCGAACCCGAAGGAGCTGTTGGATTTGGAGACTCCCAGCAAACGAAACCAATATCAATATCTCTTGTACGTCTGTTGAGTATGTGCATATCCGCTGCACATGACTACTGCCGCCCCAACAAATGACATGCTGCCAGCCAGAGCATCGAGTTAAGCTTACTCGCGACCAGCCGTCTCTGAGAGATGATAGATGTGTCGCCGTCATATCGTAGCCTCGAAATCTTTCTCTCTCATTCTCTCATTCTCTGGAAAACCTCGACCTGTCAACGCACTAAAGTGGCAAGGCAATCAAGCTTTGGTCTGACAACGGGACACCTCAGACGTGGCACAGACACGACGTCTATCCGTCCACAAACATGACGGAAACGAATTTGTCTCATCATCATTCTGTTTGCCAACCCGAGCTCTTGGGTACGGACTAATAATACCCATGTTTACTTAATCTACAAAGCTTTGCTCAAAAAGGTCGTACCTTGCAAGCTCACACAGGACTTGATACAGCAGCGTCTGTCTTTTGATCAGCCCCTCCACCACCGTCCATAACATATACATATTGCCTAATATGATTGTAAATGTATCCGTGTTACACGACCCAAGCCACTTTACTTATGAAACCCTTATTAGTGTGTGTGCTGCCAAGAAACCTCCATCGACTTGCGTCTTAGCCTGTGACGCAAGTTACAAAGGAGGCGGCTTCATTAATCCCGCCTAGCCGGTACGCTTCGAGTTGCCTTTCAAGCTTTGGCTCAATAAGGCGAACGGACAAGGGTATGCGCCCCCATGGAAGATTCCCTGCGCATATCGAGAGCTCCATGTTCCACCGCAAGTCATAGCGCAGTCAAAGTACAGGTACATGGTGTCGGTGGTCCTCAAGTGATCAACTGTGACGTGCAATACCGCCGCACAAGAGTAGTCACTGCTGGCGTAAATCTTTGCTTCAAGATGCCTAATCCTCTTGCTCGACAGTGTTGAGCATGTAACTGGCGTGGCTCATTCGCCCAACTCATGATACCTCGAGTGGGCGGAGAGTGCAAACGAAGGTATAGAATGACCGCAGGTAGCGCATATCGAATTGTCTGTAGCCTCCCAGGAAATGTCAGCGTCAGAATCAGAATCTTCAGGCACGAGGCTCTCCATCTCATTTTCCATGATTTGATCATTCTCGTCAATAACTTCGGGCGTAATTTTCCACGGAGCAAGCACTTCATCTTGCCTCTTAAACATGGTTGCAATGTCCCGTCCCGCCCCCATCTTGTCGCCAGTAGCTCCGGCAACCATGTTCGCGGCACAGATATTAATCAGCTGTAGGTTCCACGTTTGACCCTTTTCATTCTGCAGGCGGCGAAGCAATGGTAGTAGCGCCTCTGCGACTAGCTGCTGGGCGATCTCATCAATGTCAGCCTTGAGATCAAACACAAAGCTTGGCAACGGTCCTGACCGAGACACGCGACTGAAGTTCTGGGGCTGGGAGGCATCTGACTTTGGCCACGATCGAATCGAGAGACGAACCGTCCTTGGTCGAGCAATCCACTTGCGACTGCCTGGGATATCCGAACCATCATCTAGGGCAGAGAGATCCACCCTCATTCTTCGGATCAGAGAACAGGACAGCTTGTGAAGCTCTTCCGTGATTCTGGGCACCGTTTCAAGGCCCTTGTAGGTGTCTTCAATGCTAATCTGTGACGGTACATCGGTGGCTTCCTTGACTTCAGTAGGATCCACGCCATGAAGATACCCCCAAACCCGAGGTCCGATGCCTCTTTCGGCCCCTGGACCGCCCAAAAGGGTCTCTAGAAAGGATGGCGTGACGGTTGGGTGGAGACGGGCTTCCCGTGCGGTAACCAGAGAATCAAAGGGACCAAGGTCCTGATCGAGTTCCTTGGACAAGACATGGGATTCCAAAAGGTGCGTGATCTTGGAGCCCATTCCTGGGATGGTGCGAAGCTTGTGCCCATCTACAAAGTTGACGATATCATCATCAGTCGATGCAAGCAGCGTTGTCTGATTCTGCGGCTTGTTCTTGCCACCAACAAGTTTGCTCAGAAGCTTGTTTGTAGAGATGCCACACGTTGATGTGTAGCCAAAGTCTTGTTCTAGCTTGAGTCGCAAGTATTGAGCAAAGTGGGATCCCAAGAGGTGCCTCAAATAGATGGGGCTCTCCAAATCCACACTATCAGGGGCAACACCAACAACGCAACCTGCAATGGAGGTTAAATCGCATGCAAAGCCCAGCTCGGGGTCCTTTTTGGATAGGTAGAAGAAGGAATCAGCCATTGAAGCCCGGTTTAGACAGAACATGTTGTATTCGATAATGTCCGTCACATCTGGTAGACCTGTTAGTTAGCATGTGTGGATATTTGTCGTGCACACTCTTAGACGCACCTAAGAAGACCTCGTCAAAACCAAGACGTTCGGCTTTGCCGTTCCAAGAGTGCGATCTTAGGAAGTTGAACAGGATTTTGCTCATGTCCCGGAACGGCGTCAGGTCCTCGCCGTCCACAAGGACAAGATCAGGGCATATCTTCTTGGCCTCTGAGATGAGCATGAGCTTCTTGACATTGCGGCGCCGCGCATTGTAGTTGCACGTGGCCAAGATGTTCTTCTGCTTGACGCCCACCGGCTGTGACTTCAGAGCCGGGTTCTTTTGCTCAAACACTTGAGCGTAGAAGCAGTCGTAGTCCTAACAACAACAACACGGCCCGAGTTTAGCAACATTCACATTCACGGCAGAGTACTACTAGTAGGTAAGGAGTAAGACGGACAAACTGCAGAATGATGCGGCCTTCCCGGCGTTTGGGCGGCTTCTTGACCCCCGAGCCGTCCATGGCATCATCTCGAGGGCGAAAAAAGGGTCGTTAGCCCTCTTGAGGCTGAGGGGATCCAATGTAAAATTATGTACTGGCTGAAGAGCTAGAGGGCCTCTAGACAGGAGCTGTTGGCGATGTGGACATGTTACGGAAATTGCATGGACAGTGGACAGCAAGAGGTGAATGCCGCTGACCAAGTGCCGCCATTTCACGGCCCACCGTTAACAATAGAGCATTGAATGGTATTGAGAGAGTCTGCGCCAATCAGAGCCCAGCGCGAACAATTGGAAGATGACAGTGGAGGTTTTGAACCCATTGATGGATGGATCGACTTCATGGCCCGGCCAAAATGGCTTCAGCGCCCCTCCGCTGCTAGCCCGGCTCTCAAGTCAACTAACCTGGAATGCTAATGTAGGCCTAACACGCCGGTGCCGGCCCAAATAATTGCCCCTCCATCTGCTAACCTTCGATTGCCGTGGGGTTCGTCGAGTCACAGCCCAGGATTCTCTGCTGATCTGACTTACATCTCACTGTCCCATCACCACCGACGCTGCGGATCTTCAACGCTGCTTTGAGATTCCCAGCACGAGGTCTGGCGCTCTTCCTGTAGACGCTCCTCTTGTCTTCCCTTCTATTCAATTCTTCATCTTCTCTGTTCCATATTGATATCACACATAACCCCCTCGCAATGGCACATGTGGTAAGCTACCTAGTCATCTTTTTTTTTCTCCTAGATGCCGATCAATTTTCTTCACTTCGCCCAGAAGCCGCCCAAGTCGGCTCACCACCCTTTTTATATGCCCTCAATGCGCTAATCTGCTTTTCCTTTTTTCCCTTTGTCGCCAACTATAGAGAAGCTTCGTCCCGTCTCTCGACGCCGTCAGAGAGCTCCTCAACAAGCCCGTCAAGGGCGGCGCAAAGAAGCCCACGCTCGTTCCCGTCTATCGCCAAATCAGCTCCGACCTCATCACCCCCTCCGCCGCGTACCTCAAGGTCTCGGCACACGCCAAATCCACCGCCTCCGCCTCCTCCACATACTCGTTCCTCTTCGAATCGGCCGCCACCGAGCAGGTCGGCCGGTACAGCTTCGTCGGCGCCAACCCGCGCAAGATCCTCACCACCGGCCCTCTACACGGCGACCAGAAGGATCCGCTGCCGGCCCTGGAGGAGGAGCTGGCCGCCCATGTCGTCGCACACGTCCCGGGGCTGAGGCTGCCTCCCATGGCGGGAGGAGCCGTTGGCTACGTTGGCTACGACTGCGTGCGATACTTTGAGCCCAAGACCGCGCGGCCGATGGAGGACGTCTTGAAGATCCCCGAGTCTCTCTTCATGCTGTACGACACAATCGTGGCCTTTGACAAGTTTTACGGCATCATCAAGGTCATCAGCTACGTCAAGGTTCCGGCGGATGGACAGACGGGCCTAGAAGCGGCGTACGACGACGCAAAGAAGACAATCGACGAGCTGATAAACGTCCTCAACAGCCCCGAGATTCCCCTGCCAGAGCAGGGCCCCATCACGCTGGGCCAGGAGTACAAGTCCAACATTGGCCGCGAAGGCTACGAGGGCCATGTCACCAAGCTAAAAGAGCACATCGTCATCGGCGACATCATCCAGGCCGTCCCCTCGCAGCGCTTCGCCCGCCCTACCAACCTCCACCCCTTCAACATCTACCGACACCTGCGGACCGTCAACCCGTCGCCGTACATGTTCTACATTGACTGCCAGGACTTCCAGATCGTCGGCGCCTCACCCGAGCTGCTGGTCAAGTCGGAGGCCGGCCGGATAATCACCCACCCCATTGCCGGAACCGTCAAGCGAGGACCAACGCCAGAGGACGACGAGCGCCTGGCCAACGAGCTGCGCAACTCGCTCAAGGACCGCGCCGAGCACGTCATGCTCGTCGACCTCGCCCGCAACGACGTCAACCGCGTGGGCGACCCCTTCACCGTCCGCGTCGACCGCCTCATGGTCGTCGAAAAGTTCAGCCACGTCCAGCATCTCGTCTCCCAGGTCTCCGGCGTCCTGCGCCCAGGCCAGACCCGGTTCGACGCCTTCCGGTCCATCTTCCCCGCCGGCACCGTCTCCGGCGCGCCAAAGGTCAAGGCCATGGAGCTCATCGCCGAGCTGGAGAAGGAGAAGCGCGGCGTGTATGCCGGCGCGGTGGGATACTTTGGCTACGGCGGAGTGGACGAGAACGGCCAAGACGTCGAGGGTGCCATGGACACTTGCATCGCTCTGCGGACCATGATGGTCAAGGAGGGCGTGGCGTATCTCCAAGCAGGTTCGTTTTTGACTTTCTCCCTTTCCATGATTACAGTGAGAAAAGAAAAGAAAAAAAAATATAGAGTAAGCAATAACTAACTTTTTCAACCTTTGATAGGTGGCGGTATCGTATTCGACTCAGATGAATATGAAGAGTGGCAAGAAACCATTAACAAGCTGGGCGCCAACATGCAGTGCATCGTCCAGGCCGAGGAGATATATTACGATCAGCAACAAGGCGCAAAGATGGCATGAGGAGTTATTTCAAGCAAAAAAAGACAAATAAACAAGGAATATACAGGTGTTCTTATTCAGGAAGTGATTTGTAGGCAGTGTGTATGTGATCTAGTTAATACGGTAGCAAACATGGGACTATCCTTGCTCATACCTATTTCTACCTCTCCTCCTCACACCAACTACTCCCGTCCATCGAAGCTAATAAAGACAGTCACGATGATTTCAGTCACAAAGATGCAAAGGACAATGTTGTTTCGGCTAATCAAAGCGCGGTGATGGTATTTGCAGAATAGTAATATAACATGGTATAATAGCATCGAAAATAAACCCACCCCTACTCACAGAGCAGAATAAAAAACGCCAGGCCTGTATGTATATTCAGGCAAATTCGCTATCATGAAAGTTCAGTTCATTTCTCATCAGAATAAAAATGTACCCTTTTTGTTGTTGATCGCCGTGAATAAGAGAAAAAAAAATAAAAATGCAAACGGCCAGGATTGCCCTGGTCCATACTACCTCCATCCTCATGCACATCCCTATTGTCGTACAAATACAGAAAGAATTTTCTTTTTTTTTTTGCTTTTTGCTTTTTTTCTTCTTTGTTATGCAAGAGTTGCCCCTTGGTCGATTCATTTCGCCAGGGGGGTCACTCAGCTGTGCCCGCTGACGGGCGTGTCCTGCGCCTCAGCTAGCTCTGGGATAGGCGTATCCCGCTTCCGCTTATTGTACTGCGCCCTGGGCTCTGTAGGCGTCTTCATGTCCGGCTCGGCTGAAGCCAAATGGGCGACGAGAAAGTGCTGAGAATCTTCCGAGACGACGCTGCTGGCATCTGACATGTCAATGTCGATGGCCGAATCTGCGCTGCTCTCGATGCTTGCTGTCGGTGTGTCAGGCACCATCTGGATATCTGGGACAACTGTCGTCGACACTGCCTCATCGCCACGAGGCGTCTTGGCCGTGATCCTGGCCCTTGCAGAGGCGGCTTCAGCCCTCGAGGCCGCGATTGCGCCTCCAATGCGTTCGTCATCCTCTTCTTCCTCGTCCGCCACGCCAATTGTCCAGACCCACCGGCGTTTCTTCTCCTTGCGCTTGCGCTTGCGAATGCCACCCGTGTCCGATGGAGACAAAGCTGCTGCACCGCCACTCAAAGCCGCAAGCTTGCGTCGCATGTCCTCGAACGGGCCTGGCGTCTGGCCCCCATTCTCGATTTCGTTGGGCGAGAACGCTTGCTTGATGTTGATTGCCCTGTCGCCCCCAATGGGTGAAAACGACGGCGAGGCGGGCGAAGCCTCCTCCACGAGGAGGTCGATGTGCGACTTGGTGTACTTGTTGGTGATGATGGTCTGGGTGAGAGGGTTGTTGTAGCCCACTCGCTTGGCAGCCTTTTCCTGCAACCGCAAGGACTGCCGCCTTGGAGAGGCTGGAATCGCCGTCCGGGGGGGAAGAGGTGAGTTGCGTAGAATGCTGTGGAGAGAGTGAGGGTGCGTATAGGGAGCCGGGGCGCCAGTAGTGTAGAGGGAAGTAAACCGCCTGGAGAGAAGAGGCTCAATAGGTGAGCATGGAGAGGTGACGGCATATGCCCTGGTCTTGGAGGAGATGTCCATGGGAGAGAAAGAAAAGGCCTTTGGTCCGTTGGGGTCGACGGCGCCAGCAGACATGGGAGGCGTCGGTGTCATTGTGCTGGGAAAGGCAATTTCCATCTGCTGGGGCGGCGAGCCCGACGTCTCCGTGGTTGGTGTCTCTGGAAATGCGGCGACATATGGCGTCTTGATTCTTAGCTTGGGGCCTCGAGGCTCGACTGGCGTCTTGAGAGAGAAGCTTTGTAGGGTGTTGATTGCTGTGAGGGGCTCTGCTTGGACTGGCGTAAATCTCTCAATGGCCGTGGCGTATACGTTGGACAGTGTGTTGCATGCGGTGCGATCGGTAGGGTCGACTTGGAAGCCTCTTGTGGGCCTGCTGGGGACTGAAGGGCTGGAGGTGCTGATCTTGAGCGACAGCCGTGGCCTCTTGGAAGAGGTCTGCTGGAAGGGTTGAGAAGCCATCGTGGTTCACTCAAAGGATGTACAGTACAAACGGAGACGGATGAGAGATGTCAAAGTTGAAGAGCAGGAGTCGAGGAAAGAAATAAAGATGGGGAGTGAGTGGGGTGAGTCAACGAGATGCCGGACCCAACCACGTCAAGCCGTATCCTCGTCCCAGGTACGAGGACTCCAGACGATACGAAACTCGAACCTTGGGGTTGTATTATAAGCGTCGCGAGACGAGAATAGAAATGCCGCAGAACAAAGCCAACGACCAGATGGCGGGACCGTCGGCGGCTATATACGACGAAACAACCGCGCATGTTGTGCATCGTCTGGGCGTCTTTTCGTCTCGTCTCCTCCTCTCCTCTTCTTGTTTCTCCTCTTCTCTCTCCCCTTCTTCTTCTCCTCCTCTCCTCCTCTCTCCCCCCAGTCCTTGCGCCACCAGCGACAAAGTGGAACCGCCCGTCCTTGTTCAGCCGACGCTGCTGCATGATGCTAACGGCAGCAAGCCAAATCACATCCGCTGCGTCGTCGGGATAGACGCGAGAAGAGCGAGGCAGCGGAGGTGGAGGGTCGACCATGGCCGTGAGTGGCCGTGTTGCTATTTCTAGCCTGCGGGTAAGCGCTGAGCCCCGGCCCCTGTCTGCAGCGCCCTGAGGGCATCCCGCCAATCGCAGCCAATGGCGTCTAATCGGGCACAAAAGTTGTGAAGCAGATGCACGACCTCGGTCGCTGTCACACGGGCGTGCCAATGGCGAGTCGGCTTGGGATCGTCTTGTCTCGGGCCAACGAGCAGATTTCCGGCTATCGCAACATTGGCGTTGTCACACAATTGGTGGCGTTTGTGCGCATCGTTTGTTTGCTTTGCATAAACGTCGGTCCGCACTGCTCCGTACAGACAGACAGTGCAGATCCGGGACGAGAGATGCGTTTGCCATGATGGAATCTCTCTGTCTTTGCCACTGGAAACACCGTCCGCAGAGACTCATGTCCGTTTCGCCATCGTAAAGAGCAAGTTTCGGTGGGAGTTGCAGGGAATGTAAAGCTAAATATAGAAATAGAATTGGCACAGACAATTTCGAGCTCCACGTCATGTTCTGGTGGCCCTGGGCGGTGGTGCCGAGGGTCTGTGCGCACTGTGCTGCGGAATAACCTGCGGACCGGTGCTTCAATTGCCAGATGACGACAGTCTGCATGTCCGTCTCTTCGCCGCTGTCGGTCAAGGACTGGAAGTACATAGGCCAAAGCTTCCAGAAATATCAAGATAATTTTGAGGTCAATTTGGCTTCACTTTACTTTACTGAGTTCCAACGTGTTGCATCTGTTGCACCAATTGTACAGAATCCCAATGACGTCGCATTCTCAACTTCATCCATCATGACTCCAAGGCTTCAACAATCTCAGCAATGCCTTTTTCGTCCCTCCACCGCCTCGAGATGATTAGTATAGCAACCCTCATTCCTCCCACCGTGCCCGACTTCAAACAAGAGCCCTTGCTCCACGATAGCTTCGCCGTCAAGCCCACATCCCAAAAACTAGCCAGGGCAGCTTTTCAAAGATTCCAATCTAACGTGTCCGTCTAACGAGTACTACTGCATGGTGGAGGATTACTACGGAGGTAGTCAGCAGAACGGACTCCAGGGATGGTGAGAGGTGCCCGGTTTGGGAGCATGCAATTTCGTGATTAGCCTAGAACTGTACTAGCATGTGCAGTAGAAGTAAGTTATGTTTCGGAATAAGAATAGCGACATGATGGCTCTATGGCAATTGTCAAGATCCTGGTCCGCAGAGCCAGCGGAGTGGAGATGCGATATACGATACGAGCTTAGTTGTTGGCTCAGCGTTCTATCAAGAGAAGGCACATGAATGATGAAGATCAGAGCTATTGCGGTATTGTAGATGCTCTCTCCATTGCTTTATACTCGCAAGGGGCAATGAGGGTAGTTGATAATCGCAGATGCTATCAGAACATGTAGGATAATTCCAGGAGGAGTAATTTTAGGAGAACGAGACAAGCATAGTAGCACACCACACACTACAACCGCTAGACAGGAGAGAAAGATCCACGATACTCGATATTGTCATCATTGCTGAGTACTAGGTAGTTGAGTAGAAAACAGAGACTGTCCTATACTGTTCAAAACCCGTCCCTTCACACTCAAGCTTACCTATTTCCACATCAAGCAATGTTGAAACACCAACCACTGTATTCCATCCACCTGCATCCAGCAAAATCTCACACATCCATCTTCATTTGACAACCATTATCCACCAATTACCATGTCTTCCTCCTCTTCCTCCACTTACCCATAGATCTTCTACCCTCTCAAAAAACAGGTGGAAACCCCCTCCCATCACAAACACATAAACCATCTATACTAAGAAACAATAAATATAGCATGAAACATCCCACAGACCACATACAATTGAAGCTAACTATTGCTACAACTAAGTACGCATGTATTCATCGCCATAAACAGAGATCCGTCTGAATCAGCACTCACTCTTCGCTCATTTCCACCAGGCCCTATATTTAGCATCCCCCAATATTAATAGACACCTTGCTTATACCATCCATCCATACACCTACATGTCAGGAAAGCTACTATATCCAACAACTTTTCCCTACACAGAAGGAGGTCACGCATATTCCACCTAGCATCAGACGCATGATGACACATCTGGCCTCATCAAGACTCTTGCTATATAAATAAATAGAAAGAAATGAACAAGAAGAGAAGAAAACACACAAGGCCCAGTCTCACCGTCAGCATACCATTATACTACCTACCTGTCAACACGGCTCAACACTCATCGTCCTTGCTAGGTAGGTGAGAAACATTACTACTACTACTCCAGCTCCCTCAAACAGTCGTAGCGCAGGGCATCATCATCAATACCTATTTCTGGGGAGCAACCAACCCCCGATCTAACGTCGCAACCCGGATCTACAGTGCGCCAAATGTAAGCATGGAACAACATCCGTACATTCTTAGACCTGGAGATGCATTTGCGCACGCAACCACACGCCCGGCAGATCATCCATAGCCCCCCCCTTTCCACGCTATTTTCTTACGGCGCTCCCACAATTTACCTGTAGGCTAACCCCTTTATTATTGCTTGCTTCCAATGATTATACATAGTACATACCACATGCACATATACTCCGTACATGGGCAGCAAAGAAAGCTTCATCAAAACATGATCAATGTCTCTCTCCCCGCAATCTTGTGCGATTTCCCCGACAGGGCTCCTGGAGCATCTCTATCCATGACGCCCAGGATTCTAAGAAGCCACCCAGCAATGGGCCTTTCTCAATGACTCGTTCTCGTTTCATCGCAGCAAGATCGAATAGATATAATTCACTGGTGGATCCCACCGTTCGGGTAATTCTTCAAAGAATCAGTCCGTCCCTGGACATCAAATAGGGCATCTCTGCCAAAGATGCCACCATATTTCGTATTCGTGCTAGTTCTTGCTACCAACTAGGCCAATAAGGCCCTTCCCTTCAACTCCATCCATGAATCTCATTTCACATGGCGGCATTAATCCTCGTTTATTTCTCATTGCCACATTTGATCATGTATCTCCTCCAAAAAATCTTCCTTGTGCCCATAATGACCGACGACGACCATAGGCTCGCGGCTGCTGAGGCTGGTCGATTCGTCGTCTGGCTTCAGCCGGGATGGTGCTAAAGACAGAAATAAAACACTTCAGTGCACCAGAGCCCGGCGAGCCAGACGCTGGACGTTATCCTAGTAATTCCCTCGTAGTACTCTTCACGAACAAGTGGTACCAGAGTTATCCGTTTCGGGTTCGGTCAGCCGTTTCGTGTATATCCATGCCGAGCGTATGAGTCAAGTAGTATAAAATTCTCCTTTGCCTTTCAGCCGCTGTTAAGAATTCCATGGGATTCGAGCAGGTTGCCCAAAGCCCCGAGCTTTACCGGTTTGGTGAGGAACACATCCATCCCGCTTCCAAATGCCTCCTGCTGAGCATCTTCCGTCGCTAATCCCGAAAGCGCAATAATGGGGACGGGCGTCAGTCCCATCTGGGCTTCATGTGCTCGAATTTGCCTCGTGGCCTCGAATCCATCCATGACCGGCATGGATATGTCCATTAGGATGCAGGCATACGCGCTGGGGTTGGCAACGAAGTATTCTACCGCTTCCTTGCCGTTCTTCGCCTCTTGGAACCCAATGTTGCGCTTCTTCATATAAGTGGAAAGCACCTTCAAGTTGATGTAATTGTCGTCAACGAGCAAAAAGCTGATTTGAGGCGCCTCCGGCTTATCCCGCCGGACTAGAGACTCTTCTGGAGACTTTGGGGGCGTTTCGGTCTGAGAACCAGACGATATAAAAGAACCGTCGCTCGTGAATATTGACCCGCTGCTTCGAGATACAGCAGTTGTCGGTCTGGTCAATGGTGGCCTACCGATATGAGCAGAAGAGAATGTACTTGGTGTTCTCTTGGGGCCCTTTGGCCTCTTGGCCACCATTGGAATCGAAAGAGGTGCTCCTGGCGAATTGAAGCTGCTCATCCAGCGCATGTAGGCCGAATGCAGCGTTCTGGCAAGTTTACGAGGGCCGGTCCTAAGAATTGCAATGCATGAGTCAATGAGGAACGAGAAAAGGAACACTCAAGATGGAGAGACTCACGGTTGAGAAATAAACTCAAAAATGGCAGGAGATCCGGCCTTCTTGAACACGTGTGACTGGCGATAGGCTACTAGAGCATTTGAGCACACGACAACATTGGGTGTTTTGTCAAATGATTCAAAATCTTCGCTCAGTGTCGCCAAGTCCATATGGGACCAAAGCACAAGGTCCGGCGTGACGCTCGTGTCTCGGGTGTTGGGGATGATTTCCATATGTAGCCATTCGCGGCAGATGTTGACTATAGCCGTTTGCCAGTCGGAATTCGCCATTATAACCCGCACACGCAGGCCTTTGAGGTCAGCAACTTGTTCTTTGAACGCCTTGTCTTCTTCATCGGAGATTGTAGGGGCCACTTCCACAGGACGCGGTAGCTGCTCCAACGGGAGGGTGACACAGGCTGTCGTCCCAACGCCGAGCTCGCTCCGTATCGAGACATCACCTTGCAGATGAGATGTTATCTGCTGCACGAGACTGAGACCTAGCCCGGCACCAGGTGATAATGGATCCTCCTGTGAAAAGGGACGGAAGAGCCCGTGCTTGAGGAAATCAGGGCCGATGCCTTTGCCGGTATCCTGCACTGTAAACCTGACGACACGCTCTTTCTTGCGGCCCCTAAGGCGAACCATTTCCTGCGTAAGAGAAACTGTAATCGTGCCCCGCTTGGTATGCTTCAACGCATTGCCGAATATGTTCATGACGATGCGCCGGATGGCTCCCACGTCAACGCAATACGCCCAATTGCACCTGGCATCCATCGAGAGGATGATCAAGACATCATCGAAGCTCCACCTGAGCTCCCCGTTCTTGGTCATCCAGGGTTCGAGCTGGTCTATTGCTTGCAGCGAATCCGAGTGGTGATTCGCATTCACATCGGGGTTGATCGACCCGCTGTGCTGGTCAGAGAGTTGTTTGACAGACAAGTGTAAAAAGTTGAAGCCAGCAAAGACACTCTCAATAACTTCCTCGACAATGTGGTCAATTTGCGAGTCGCGCAGCAAGGATTTCTTGCCAAATTGCCCCAGATCGAGACCATTTGACGTCAAGCTGAGCGCCCTGTCATCTCGTCCAGACAGATGATTGATTCTGGAATATTCAAGGAGGTGGTCTACCGTGTCCAGAAGTGTGCGGGAGCAAGTTTCGATAGTGTGGGCAACATTGCCCTGAAAGATGTCGAGCTTGGTATCAATGAGCAGTTCGGCGTTGAGCAGAATTCCATGCAGCGGGGAACGAAGCTCGTGTGAGAGTGACCCAAGAGCATCCGTCTTTGCTTTATCAGCCCGCAAATCCTTGAACCGCAGGATTTCAGACATGGCAAGCATCCCCAGAGCTCTCAGATAACTTAATTCCTGTTCAAGTGAAAAACTTCGAGCCACGTCCTTGGTGCAGATGAATCCGCCGGCATGCCATCGATCTTTCCTGGGGTCCCAGATAGGGACGAATCCTATGCTCCGAGAGCCAGGGAAAGCCTTGAGGAGAGCCTTTCCCTCAAGCTGCCTCGCCGAGCTTTTCAGTGGAATCCCGTCACGCGGCATTGTTAGATTGATTTCAGAACCTCTCATGGGTAACGCAGAGATGCTCGGGTATCCCTCTGACAACTGCCATGGCTGCTCGTCTTCTGACGAGTCCGATTGCAACTCCCCGTCGGCGCCAAAGTTGAAAATCTGGCCCCTGGGATAGCGCCGAAGAAGCTTAGACAGAAAGTTCTCTCTCATAGAAACGCAGGGCCGGCTTGGAACAGCCCCATTGATGCTCGACGCCGTAGACGTGGAATAGCCAAGGAGCCTACACTGCGACGCAGTCTTACTTGGACGCCTTGCTTCTAGGTCCTCATCGCTGCTGCTCGTGGCGGATGACTGGCTTCCCTCGTCAGTCGTGGTGCTGTTCTGCGCCGCCGGGGACAGATATGACTGGATGGGGGCTTCGAAGAAAAGGCAGCCCTCCACCTCGATGGACTCCCTGACAATGTTGGCAGCTTTGGACAGAATGACCATTGAGCTTTCGTCCTCTGTCAGACTAGCCATGGATTTGAATTCGGGCCTCGTGGCTCCTGAGCTGCCAGCAGAGAACGTACGGCGTTCATGGCCAGAGATGGCGTCGTTTGGGCTTAGATTGGCCTCGTTTCCCGACCTTGGGGCGTTGATTGGATCCGTTAATGTGGTTTTCGGTGACAAGTCGGTCACGAGATCATCCTCTGGTCTGTCCTGCTCTTGTTGTTGGAAAAATCGTTGCCTGTGGCTGGGGCTGTTAGGCACCGTCTCCAAGACAACATCATTCGAAGTCTTCTGCCCTCCATATATGGTGGGTTTGCCCTCGATAAACGACCCCAAGCCCCTGTTCATTCGCAGATCCCGTTTGTGCACAATCTTGAGTCTCTGTGCCTCGAGATGGTCCATGATGGCACAGGATATGTCCCGTAGCCGCTGCGAGTGGACATCGGTCCAGTCCTTGTTTGGTGTCTCGTTGATGACGCAGTAGACGCCGATGTTGATTCCACGTCGAGTTCGGATCGGGACAGCCGCATAGAACCGAGCCAGAGTGCCCGGCTGGCAGTACGGCTTGGACGAGAACCGAGGGTCGACAACAATGTCCTGGGCAATGGTCAGAGGGAGCTGGTGGGGGGTCTCGCCATCGGCCGCATCGAGAGCCTTGTCGCCGAGGAGGCACAGTTCGCAGATTCCATGGCTACGAGGGATGGCGGTGCCACATAGCCAGAGGGGGCGGTCACAGTCGTCACTCTTGAGCGACGGATACAGTCGCTGGGTGGGTGTTGCTTCGGCGACGATGCACTGGCGGTGGGCGTCGAACAGCGAGATGAGGGACCTGTCGGTGCCCGTCTGCAAAGCTCCCAGCTGGGCGAGGCCGGTGAGGATAACGTCGTCGGCGGCGGCGAGCTCAGACGAAGGCGTCGGCTTGCCGGTCTCGTTGAGCCTGACGGCGCTGAGCAGAGACGAAGAGTATCTACATGTCGGTGGTTGCCACGGGTTAACACACACAAGAAAGAAGAGCCTGACCCGGCCTGGCCTGGCCTGACCTGACCTGACGATGGCAAGACAAGAGAGACGAGGCAAGAAAAGAGAAGGAAACAAGAAAAGCAAAAAGAAGCCCCAATACTCACTCAAACGTCTCTCGCTCTCTGGCCGACTCGGACACCAGCTTGGCAGCCTTCACCTGAGCCCGGTCCGGAATTGCTGCCATCACCGTTCCACAGCCGCCACAAGGTGCACGGATCGCTGTCGCTCGGGATTGGAAAAAACCATGGGGGCGCCGATCACCAACGACTCTCAGAGGCACTATGCAAGGTATATATTGGAGGGTACCCCGGCATGTTTTCAGCACCTTGCCACTTGTAGCAGAATCTGCAGTTGCCGCAGCGCAGCCCCCTCGACAAGCTACATGTACATATCCCGAGTACCAAAAAAAAGAGTACCTCCGATAATGCAAGTTGCCACTGCCTATATGTACTGCCTTGAGTACTAGGTACCTATAGTACCTGATCTTGTCAACTGACAGCTTAACCTTATCGCACAGTCCGTACAGTGTACCTTGAGCAGCCAGAACTTGAAACACAAAAAAGCATCAACAATTTTGGTTTCATCCATAGTACAACTAACAATGTGCCAGCTAAACTCAAACACTACCCCAAACAGCTCCCTCCGAAAAAGCTACCCAAACCCAACTCACTAACTGGACGGGACGGCTAGCCTCCAACGCCAGATGCAAAAAGTGGTGAACCTTGATTGCTAACTATCCCTACTTCAGCACCATAGCTTTTGGAGCTCTGAACCATGTGCCCACTTCCCATCCATCGGAGTCTTTGCTCCCGTTTTTTTCATGGAACGATTAGCTGATTTCTTTGTGCGGCCCCAAATTAGCTACCGCCCTGCTAATCTATCTGAGGTTACAGCAACCCATCCTTTTACCGGCTTTAGCACCTGTTAGTGCCCTCATCCGCGTACTAAAAGTCCAGAGGTGCGCTTGTGACGTTTTCTCTGGGGGTTGGCCAAGGTCGCGATAGTGCTTGGAAAATCAAGATGATGGATACAAGATGATGCCTGCCTGCTCACCTACTAGGTAGTACAGTAGTACCTAGTGATGATGGAAGAAGCAATATGCCTGTGATAGTGGAAGAAGCTATATACAATTGATGTACGTGGTGATAACGTCTACCGATGCCCACATTAGGAAGTCGTCTAACTTGCAAATGGCCGCTACCCTCCCACGCTCATTCTATCAAGGAGGTTGATATCAATCCTTCTCCTCTGTCAGCTGCGCGATTTCCTTCACTCTGATAGATAAAACTCCGCATTTAATATTCAGCATGGTCGATAATCATTTTGATCCCGCTTGGTATATCCGTATATGTACCCAGCCCCAGCCATGCAATAGCAATAGCAATAGCAAATAAAACAAACACAAAAGAAACAAGAGATATCAAGACACAGCAAAGCGCTCAGGCTTCGCAACACAAATCATTACTGATAACATCCAGCTGCCGCCTCACATCCTCGCGCAACCGACTCTCCAGCTGATTCAAATTAATCATAATCTGATTGATCCTATCTTGATCTACCTGGGAGGCTTCAGCTAGAGCTTCGTCGTCCAAATCACTCGACCTTGTGTGCTCGACCGGCGGCGCGATGAGAGATTCGGAAATTGTTTGGTTTGGCCCATCCCACTGCTTCTCTGTCTGCTCCGCATTCCAATTCTGCAGCGGGTGGTTGTATCTCGATTCTTCGAGTTCATCATACCAGAGAGGCTGTGAAGCTGATGTTTGGAGATTGCATGTCGGGTCGAAATCGGCATCAGAGCCGGGAGGAGTAAAAGAGTCGGGATCGCTCGACTGCTCAGTCGGCGAGGTTGTCGCTGTGGTCGTTGCAAAAGGCAGGGCGTCAAAGCAATTGTCGTCAATGTACATCGAAATATCGTAGCCTGCTGTAGTTGCAAACTGGGAATCGTAAGCCAGCCCACCGATGGGACTAGCTATGGAATCCGCAGCCATTGCGCCATCTGCTGGGGCAGTCGCCCTGCTTTCTTGTCGTCCTGTATTCGGTGAGAGAAAACATGGTATCCAGGAGTGTTGCTCAATGCTCCGAGCTATTTGCGGGAACTCTTGTGCAAACTGACGACTGACTTCTTCATACCGAGAGAGGTTGTCTAGAGCATCTTGGCTCTGGACCTGGCCTGATCGTATAAGCGACACTGGCCGGGTATCATACGGCCGGCGATCGGAGCAGGCTCTCTTTGTCATTTCAAGGTCGGTGGGATGTGCCCGATTGTGTATTTCCAAAATTGAAGAGATAAAGTCTTGTGAAAAAAAAACAATGGTTGTGATTGATTGAAAATGAATCCCAGGAGCAAACAAACGAAGGGAGCTTTACATGGTGCACACACAATTGGAAGCGTGGGGCAGACATGGGTATCGACTTTTTTCAAAACCGCATCGAGATGCTGATTACGGCATGCCAGACGTCATTCTCCAGACAGCAGCTGTAAGCGTGTCATGTCCGCGTGCCTGTTCGGTGTCAACGTGCGAGCTAAAGCGGTTTCTGCGTGTCTTTAATGGCCAGCGTCCATCCGTGGCTTTTCAATCTCCAACGCAGTCCGGGGGGCGGAAACTCGCCGACTAGGTAAGAGATCGCCGCCAAGCGGCCAATGGGTGAGGCTTGAGATGAATCGCCTCCTGCATGCCCACCTTGTTCAATGGCACACCAAACTAGGCCCAGCTGGTCGCATCACAAGAGCAGTTGAAGGCGACATTGACTGTGTCTTTTTCTCCCTTCAAGTGCTCTACCTGGGCCAATCACCGTTTACCCGCAATATTAAGGGCATGGACAGCTACACTTGTTGAACAAAGGTTTGCTGGCAGAGGGGGAGACCATGATATGACCCCAAGTATCGCTTCGTCGTTATTACTACCCAGGTAGGTCTAGTTTGGCATCAATGCGCAGCTACCCTCACCGTTTTTTGACCCCGAAACAGTTTGCTCGTTCGATAAGCGACAAAGGGCTATTGAAGCAATTCTGTTGGCCAAGGATAAATAAGGAGTTCTTAAAACCCATCAACAGGTACTACAATGCTGCCGAGATACCATCCACGTTCCTCAATCGCTGATAGCCGAAACCCTCTTCGATTCAAGTACTCCAAGACAGGATAACAAATAAATGCCACACTCGGGACCTCAATAGATAAAAAAAAATTATAAAGACGAGAAGTCATAAACAAAAATATAGATCCCCTCCCCAATAGAACAATCCAATGCCTGCCACTCACGACTCAATGCCCAGCGCCTTCACTCCCACAATCCTCCCGCCCTCGTCATCCCGTGAAATAACCCAGTACTCCGCCCTCGTCAGATCCCTCGCAACCCTATACACTCTCACGTCGTTCCCCCGCGTCGCCTCCCTCACAGCATCAATCACATTGCCGTATTCCCCCTGCGAGTCCCAGTCGACCGGGTCCATGATGTCGATTTGCGCGTTCTCGGCGTCCCAGTGGTTGATCAGCTTTGCGAATTCGACTATCCAAGCATGTTCCAATTAGCTCTTCTGCATACTTTTTTCTCTCTTCCAAATCCCCCCCCCCCCCCCCCCCCTCCCCTTCTTAGACTTCGAGAAACCGTAATCTTGGAATGGAGTGTCCAGGGCATAGGCAAAAAAAAAAAAAAAAAAAAACTGACCTTCATCCGGCAACCCTCCCTCGCCCTTCCACTTCAACGACACTCCCTTAAACGGCTCATCCGCCTCGCTCACGTAAAACGCACCGCGACAGACCTCAGCAATGCTCTTGGGCAGCTCACTCCCCTCATCCGCAGTCTTAAACGTCCGCTGTGCCACCGAGCTTTGCGCTGCTGCCGCCCTCCCCTCGTCCGCATCCTGGTTCGCCTTGTTGAGGAAGGCCATGTAGTCCTCGTCGCTCGCCATTTTCCGGGACGCGGTGTTCGATAGGGTTCGGCGTTGGGTGAAGCTGCGGAAACTCGGCGCAGCCGTGCTTGAGCTGTTGTTGTATTGACCTTGGGGCTGAAGATGGATGCGCTGGGGAATGCGGTGCGCTATTCGCTTGTTGATATGCAGGACTCTTCTAGATGGGAATGAAAACGCAGCAAAGAGGATTCGTTGACTGGGTGGCATGAGGGAGAATGGCGAAGACGGTTCAGCGGGTAGTGAAGATGTTTCGTGCTATTAAAGCTGGTGGTCTCGTCAGATTTTGAGGTGGGGTGACGTCAACGACGAATCCGTTGGAGTTTGAGGCGCTATAGATCAGGTCTGTGAGCGCTACAACGTTCAAAACGCTTCGAGATTCATCACTTAAAAATGTAAATATCAGAACTAGGCACTTATAATGAAAAAAAAAAAAAAAAAAAAAAAGTCTTCATAGCAGCTGTTTTCCCTCCCTTACATTGTTTACAATTACAGTCGCGCAATAAATTGATCCAGATTTCTACAGCAGATTCACATCAAGACTTGCGTATAAATGGTCAGTTTCTTCTCTATTGGCGTCGCTACTTGGCATGCACATGCGCGGGATTTCCATGATCATAACAGGAAATCTCATTTCGAATTTTTCAGATCTCTAGCTGAAATTCATCTTTTTTTTTCGTGCTCCTCCCATTATGAAGCCCCAAAAACCCAGCCCAAAAAGCAAGGCAAACCAAATCCGACACCAATGCAATGACCCGACGCGCAAAAAGGAAATAAGCTTTTTATGCGGAAGCCAGATCCTTCTTGAGGGTACCCTGGTACTGCTTCTTCTCCGCAGGGGTCTGGAAAGCACCGTGACCGAATTCGGATGAGGTGTCGATCCATTTGAGGCTGATCTTCTCCAGAGCCTTTCTTGAGGTGTGAGTCCACATGGACTTGCGGAGGGTCACAACACGCTTCTTGGTACCAGGGATGGAACCCTTGACCATGACGAAGTCGTTGTTGATCTCACCATAGCGGACGAAGCCACCGAGACTGCAAGACAATGTTAGCAATGAATTATACGCTGATGGGCGATCCAGAAAGGAGGTTCAAAGTAAACATACGGAGTGATCTTCTTCTTGGTGACATCAACGTCAGTGGAGGCGTTGTCGTCAGCATCACCCTTGCCGATTCTGTAAACCTTGTGGTTGACAGAGGTACGGTGGTGGTAACCCTCCTGACCGGCACGGGCAACAGTCCACTGGACGTGGGAAGGATGCCAAGCACCGATACAAGCAACCTTTCGGAGACCCTTGTGAGTTTTACGGGGGAGCTTCTTGGTGCCCCAGCGGGCGGTGACACCGCTGAATCCGTGGCCCTTGGTGACGGCGATAACGTCAATGACCTCATCCTGCTCGAAGATAGTGTCGACGGAGACGGGCTTCTCGAAGAGGTCCTTGCCGAAGTCGACCTTCTCGGCAACGGAGCCACCGTTGACCTGGATCTCCATGAGGTGGGCCTTCTTCTGCTTGAGGGGGGTCTTGCGGATCTGGGTGTGAGCCAGGATACGGACGACGGTGCAGTACTTCTTGATGCGCTCGAGCTCGCGGTTGATGGAGGCACCGCTGTTGTCGGAGTGCTTCTTGGCGTACTTGGTGAAGGCCTTCTTCTTGCTCTTGTACCAGTTCTTGTAGAATCGGCGCTTAACTTCGTCGCTCAAGTGCTCGGCCCACACGGTGGTGAGGGAGCGCAGACCACGGGGAGTCTCGATGTAGCCCACAAGACCAACAACGATCATCTAAAATAAGATGTTAGCCATAGGCACATAGCCAAGCGGGCTGCATTGTTCGTACAGGGGGGGTATCAATGATCGAAACAGCCTCCACAACTTCCTTCTTGTTCGCCTTCGCGCCGGGTCGGTCGAGGTCACGAACGATCGTGGTCATACCGGCCTTGTAGCCCATGGCGGCGGTCAGGTGGACGGGCTTCTTGGGGTCATCCTTGGGGAAGCTGCCAATTTCAATTGATTAGCATTGTTCCTTGTGATATCCTCGGATTAAATGCATCTCAAGGTTTTTTTCTTCTTCGTCTTCCAACACTTACGACTTGACCTTTCCGCGGTGGCGGGCAGCGCGCTTCCGAGGCAGATAAGCCAAGGAGCCGTGACGGGGAGCCTCGTACTTGCGGTGCTATTCTGATGTTAGCATTATCGTGGGAAAATCTGAGGTTTCTTTTCGGTATCTTCACATACACTCATTTTGGGCTGTTGTGTGGTGATGAGTTTAGTATGAAAAATTGACGAAGCCTGCGCAGAGCAGAAAAGTGAAAAGGGCTTTCAGGAAATAATTTGTGGGCGAAATTTTAAGCGAGACCTGATGTGAGGTCCAGATTTCAACGCTAGCCATTTATGGCGCAAGGGCCACTTCAGCCAATCAGCCAATCAGCCTCCACTGAAACCCGGGTACGGGTAAAAGGGCGATAGGTCACGTGACTCCAGGTCTGCAGTACAAGCAATCTACGGGACAAAGCATCCAAGAGAAGCCAAAGCTGGGTATCAGATACCTTAGTAGTGATTTACAGGACATATACATGGATATGGGGACCAGAGAATTGGTCAAAAAAGTCATTGAGATTTAAAAGAAAAAAAAAGGACTACACCTATGGTACGGAAAACGCTCCCTGGCGACAGTTTGTTTTAGCCAAAACCAATGATCCGTCCGCCATTGCCGTCCGTCAAAATCGTCCCGTAACATATGAAAAACTAAGTAGTAATACTAGGGTTGAAAGTCTGATATATAATAAAGAAAAGAAAAGGGGGAAGGGACACCGAAATAAATCGCCACGTAAAAAGACGTGACTCATAAATCCCATCTTCTCTTGGTCTGCATGTAGGCATCTCTCTTACTCGGTCTTGGGCACGGGGCCAGAAGCAACATTGACGCTGCTGGAAGAAGGCGCCGGAGCCTTCAAGTCACTTGATGCTGCGGGAGGCCCAGAACCATTAGTGAGGACCACTGTCTTCTTCTCGTCTTCCCCGCTGTCATCATAGTCCTCGTCGACGTCCATTTTCCTGGCAGCACGCTCGGGTTCAGAGGCAGATGGAGGAGCAGGGCGAGCTAGGGGCGCCTGTTCAGCACGGGGTTCTTCTTTGGGGACAACCGGTGGCTGAGGTTTTTCGTGGACGACACCAGTCATGGGACCTGATCCCGGCTGCATCGGCGGCAGGTGGTTCGAGCTCACACTGTGACTCTGCGTGTGGTGAGCGGCCTCGGACGGGTGGTAGTTTTCCGTCTTGTGGCGCGGTTCATCGGACCTCCTGGGTTCTTCAGGGCGACGTTGCTCCTCCGTCCGGCGAGCCTCGGACGAGTTGCGGCGGTATGGGTCGCGGGGAGGGGTTGGAGAGGGCCTGCGGTGTGCCAGATCGGCCAGTCGTGCACGAGTCTCCTCATTGGCAGGCTTCTTGGCCACGGGCTCCTCTTCCCACTCGCGATGTCTCTTGGGTCCTACAGACGAAGGCCGGTCCTCCATGCGTTGAGCAGGAGGCTCAGAGATCGCCGCAGGCGGGGGAGGCGGCGGCTGTGCGTTGTTTTCGGGAGCACTCTGGGGTGGCATTTCTGGATGATGAGCATAGTGAGGTGGTGGGGGAGCTGGGTGCTGGGGATAAGCCGACTTGGGGGATGGCATGCGGTTGTCGTGAACTGGAGGGCGGCCGTCGGTAGTGCGAGGGCTGCTGGCCGTCCGGAACGGAGTCATTGCATTCGGAGGCGGGTTGGCATTGTTAGAGTTGTTGGGAGGAGGAGCCGAGGCCGAAGGCGTCGAGCCACCCCAGTTAGGATTGAGAACACGTCGCTGCTCAGCCGGTGCAGGAGCCGGAGGTTGAGACTGGGGTGGTGGCGGAGGAAGAGGCTGGGCATATTGATGGCCTTGAGGCGGCGGTGATGGGCCACGACGCGATGGGCCAGGCCTGTTAAGCTCAGGGTATGGCTGGCGCGAAGGCGGCTCTTGCGGAGGAGGGCTGGGCTGCCGGAGAGGCGGCGCTGGACCACGGAATGGTTCACCGGCTCTGCTCTCGTAGGGATTCGGCGGCTGCGGCGGCGGGTTGACGTTGGACAGCCTGCCGGCCCAGCTCTCACCGGCTGCCTGAGTGGCGGCAGGGGGGCCAGCGGACTGTTGTTGCGCGGATCCTCCCCATTGAGGAGGGCCTGTAGGACCTGTCTGATACGTTGAAGGATGCATGTCGGCAGGCTGAGGAGCAGCGGGTGGCGGACCGCCATTTGTACCGCCGGAACGAAGAAGCTGAAGGCGGGCTTTAATGTGTGGATTACCCGGATCCAACTCTGCCGCCCTTTGATAAGCGTCCAGCGCATCGGCAATCTGGTTGTTACACGATTCGTACTGCACAGAGTCAGTAATCCGCTGTATAAGAAGGAGAAAGTGAAGACAGCAGAGAAACTTACAAGAGTGCCGAGGTCATACCAGACTTCAGAAATGTACGGGTTGAGCCTAATAGCTCTTGAGTACGCGTCCAGCGCATCTCGGTACTGGTTGATCTGATAGTACAACACGCCAATCGAGCACCAGAACGTCGGGTTCTTTCCATCACGATATACGGCTTGTTGATATGCTTCATATGCCTTGGGGTACTTTTGCTGCGACATATAGCAACGACCTAAGAGATACCAGCTTTGCGCATCTTGGTTGTCTGCCGCGACAGACTTCTCCAAGTACTGGATACCACGTTCCTGGGAATCATATGCTGGGCTTTGTTGGTGGTAGAGCCAACCCAATTGCTGTAGAACCTTGGCGTGGTTGGGCGACTGGTCCAGTACGCGCTGGTAGGCGGACTTGGCGCCATCAAACTGCGAAGCAAGGTTAGCATACCATACAGCCGTGGTGAAAAAAAAATGAGAAGCTCACATCTTTCTGCTGTTCATGGACGTGACCAATCTGGAACCATATATCTTCTTGGGTAAGAGGCCCGGGGGGAGAATTGACAATGTATTTGAAGCACTAGTGAACTGTTAGTCAAGACGGCGAGGGGGTTGCTTAGTTTAAGGTGTTGTCTTACATCCAAGCTCTGGTTGAATTTGGATTGCTGCTTGTAGATTATGCCCAGTCGAAAGTAAATTTCGTTGGCCTTCTCAAAGTCGGGTTGAATGGTCATAACTTGAGAAAATGCTTCCTCAGCATAATCGTAGCTGCCATAGCGATCGTACAATATACCAATGCCGTACCACAGCATTGGGTCCTACAACGGTCACAATTATTACCCAGATCGCCAAGCAAAAGCCAAGCAGTCTAGCGCGTCATCCAACATACCTTGGGATCCCGAAGGTTGACCAGCGCCTGTTGGTAAGCGTCGTATGCCTTTTGTAAATTTTCGGTCATCAAGTAGCAGTGGCCTGTAGAGCATTCGATGAGCTAAATCCAAAGAATCAGTGTAGCGGTGACGCGGCATACCAAGATTTCCCCATGCTTCGCCGTTGTTCTGGTCGAGCTGGACAATGGCTCGGAAGAATTCGAGAGCCTTGTCAAAGGCCTCGCGACCCTTGAGGAGCATGCCGATCGCGTTCATTGCGGCGGTAGAGTTCGGATTGGCCTGCAGAGCCCGCTCATATGCGTGCATGGCCTCGTCAGGAACGCGCAGCAGTTCAGAAAAGCTTCCTGTTCAGGGTATTAGTCTCAAAGCTCGGCCGTGATGAGCTGGTGGGTAGGGAAGGGTTCATACCAATCTGCAACCAGACAGCCTCATTCATTGCCGCGATCTGGTGCGAAGGGTTGAAGTGATTCGGCTGAACATTCTGAGGCGGTGCCACGGGAGGGGGTGCTTGATGCTGCATCTGCATCATCGTGGGTGATGGGTGATGGTTCGCCATCGCGACGCACTCGGCAGCGGACTATCGCGACAAGGCTGGCGGTGTAGGGTGAACAGCGCGGGCCCAGACGGATCAATCTCGACGTGACGGCGCGAAAATCTCCGGGCTGGTGATTGTCGTGTCGATTGAAGGGCGATGGCTGTGGCAGCGGTCCAATGGCTCGGAGACGGATACCGCTGAAGAAGCACCCGCGCAGAGCAGACACTTAATTTATGACGCCAGTAACAGCTCGGCCCGACGAAATAAAGAATGAAAAGTAAAAGAATATGCAAAGTAGAAAGAAATGCAAGCGAAACGGAAGGCCGATGAGGCTAAAATTCTACGCAGAAGGATAGTTGGATAGTTGAACCGTGGAGGCACGTCAAGATCCGCGAACCCCCGACGCTGCTTGCTATGGCTGCGAGATGTGATGGAGGGGAGAAAAAGAGAACGGGTAATGGGGAGAGAAAAGGCTGGTCTTGTGGAGGACGGACCTGCGCTGCTGAACCGACAAACTTACCTTACCCATGAAAATGATCAAAATGGGAGGGAAAGGAAGGCCTAGAGCCACGGAGGGCGTGGCATGTGGTAGAGCGGGGCCACCCTGGTCCAGTGGGGCCTTTGGCTGCTTGGCGGCTTTGGCTCTTCCTTGCCGAGTAGGTAAAGTGGGGGTGTGGGCAGGGTTCTGTGGAGAGATGGTGTGCGGGTACGAAGTGCCCAGGTACTCACGCTCAGGTACGTACCGCCGTAGTGCCCGAGGCTACGACTAGCAGCCCACACACACTCTGAGCTGCAAAGGGCTAAAAAGCTGGGGGGGGAGACGGAGACTTGAGAGCCTGGGCACCCGAGTTGACGCAGCTGCTGCCGTGGCTCTCTAGTACCTACTAGAGGTATTGCAGGCCATCTACGAGTATATGCATAAAGCAACTGGTAATACGGCCATGTTAGTACATAGGCGAGGAGCTAGGCAGGTAAGGCGGCTGAGAGGAACCATGGCGAGCTCACTTCCCCTGCACGGAGACACTCATCACCCGAGAGGATGCATCCTAGGTAGAGACCAGTCTTATCTGACGGCGAGGCTGTCGATTTGCCGGCCCACAAGCTGGTGCAAGCAGTCATGCTGTACTTGGCGGCGTAACCTCTGTTGACAGGCTGAATAGGTGCAATTTTCTTGTACGCAGAGATAGGTAGCGAGCGCCCAGCTAAAGTCTACAAGTACTGCTGCTATCCCGCACATGGCCAACATCGCATCGCATCGCTCAAATGGGGTAAATCGTCAGTTTAAGGCGGCCACAGGTGGACACGACCAGATTGCGGTGGCTGCACTAATAATCATGATTGATAAAGTGTTCAACTTAAGAGGGAATTGCGTTCTGTGCTTGTCCTCACATATGTGAGTATTTCAGTAGAGCCCATGTATCGGTTTATCGCAACGCAGGGCCAGCGGCGGTTGCTGAGGCTCCATGGGCGCATCGAGGCAGAAACAAGCATGGGACGAGGATCCAGCGGGTAAAACAACCGGCAGCAAGAGGCTCTCCTAGCTCTCGGGGATCTTCAACTCATTATTGGCGACGCCAGTCCTCGATACGAACACAAGTAGCGATGCGTATGTACCTGGTAGGCAGTTTAACCCCCGGTATTTGCCGGGGGGGGGGGGGGGGGGAGACGATGTGTTGGTTGGCCCGTGGGTATGCACTGTCAGCAGCTCTTTGGCCTGGGTTTTGGTGGGCGAAATGACCGTGGCGCTAGTTTGAGCAGATGGCGGTAATGAGAGGTGGCACCAGAGGCTACACATGGAGATGATGGCAGTGACACGCTTCAGGTACAAAGGCGCTCACTCGTCCGGCATACAGTGGCAGGTGTACTCGACGACTTGGTGGCACTCGAGTTGACCAGAACGAGTCAACTAGAACGACGCCAACAAATTGGTGGCGTGTACTCGCAAGCCAAGGTGACAAGAGCCAGAGCCAGCCGGGATGCCTGGCAAGCCACTCAGTCTTGAAAGAGGAACAGCCGCAGCCAGGTTTGCACAAATGACCGCGCTGTTGGCCGTAGAGCAGCCACTTGTGCGAATCCAAAGGCTTTCTAGCAGCCGGGCAGAGAAAGTCAACATAGTGGAAAAGAAATCGAGGTACCCGCTCGGTGTTGGGCTCCAGCGCAGTAGGTACTAAGTTGAGCTCGTAAGAACGGAGCCGCCCTCACTAGGCGGCACCTCATTTCCCATTGCCGGCCCAGACAGCAAAAAACGTGATAAAAACGCTCGCAACAGAGATGACGGCTGCCACGGAGTGCCGCTCAAGTTAGAGTGGGCTGCTAGCAAAGTGCATCGGACGGGGCTAGTACCTTGTAGGAAGTACAGGAAGGGGGCGCTAAAGAGAGACCCCACAAAAGAGACGTGAACGGAAGAGCAGAGAATGAAAGAGCGGCACCGGGGCCAGAGTCTTGGCTTTGAGCTCCACAGTCGGGGATAAGGCCAGGGGGGGCACTACGAAAAAGGAACGACGGTCATGTGACCGGGGCTGCAGCGCCTAAAATATAAGGTCAGGGTAGCGCGGGAGGGCTGGGCGGCCTTTTTTTGGGAGCCTCAGGATCAAGATACTCCAAGCCGTATCTTGCATTCGGCCTTTTTTCTGCAGGCAACCTTTGTTACATAATCCGTGTGCCACGCATGTGTTTCTGTGCCCAGCCCCCCGTTTGGTTTGGCTGATTGATTGGAAACCCACGAGCCACCCTGAACATTGTTTTGCTTGCATCCATGTGAGCTGGGCTGCTTAGGTGTTCTACTAATCGGCAGCGCCATAATCCCGACAGCAATGGAACAAGCCTCGCCACTGCCGCACAAGGCTCGAGGCTCCAAGACCAACAGCACACCCAGTGGCTTATTACTACTACCTACCTGTAGACTGCTGACGCTGCTGTTGAGGCTGCGTGCTACGCTACACTGCCCGGCTACGGCGGTCGTGGTACCGGTAGGATTGATCTCTGCGCTGGCCGGGCTCGTTTGGTGGAGCAGGCCAGACAAGACAGCGATGCTACACGGAGCATTGGGGTGCATGGCATGGCATGGCTCGGGGGAAAAAGGGACGTGGACAGCAAAACAACCTGAACACATGTACAGGTACCTCAGCATCTACTGATACGGTACACGACGTCAATTGTTGCATTTCATGTCGAGTGCCGTGGCCTGCAGCTGCGCGCTCCACGCGGCGTGCGTGCCAGCAGGTACAAGTACGAGTACTCACATGCACCTGCACCTGCGCCTGCGCCTGCACCCTGCACGCGCAAAGGTCCATTTGACGCCTTACTGGACGAGGTACGCCGTTATGTAGGGCGCATGCTCGCTGACGATGAATTGCGTCGGTGGTGAGAAAAATGCTCGGACACTAGCCGCGTGTTCGCGATGCGGTCTGAGTCCCCATCCATCGCAGGCACGAGCACCTTTGGTACCGTACTGGTACTGGTACACAACACGCACGAGTACCCGCACTCTAGAACGCACTGCGCACACGCTGGGACCGCTTTACGCCGACTCCCTTTTCCCTCGCAGCCCGCTCAGCTCTAGCACACCCCTACCGTGGCGCGTCTGTCCTAGCGTGGCTCCACCCTCGTCATGCCATCAAATTGGAAAAGAGAAGAGAGAAAGAGAGAAAAAGAAGTTTTGCTACCGAGTGGAGTCCGCCCACACACTCCTGAAGCTGCTCAACACACTGACGTGCCACGGCCAGCCGCCGGCGGATCTGGCCATCTGGGGCTCTTCCCAGCTCTGCTAGCTCTGCCTAGCTCTGCCTAGCTCCGCCTGGCATCCTAGCTCGGCCCCTTGCTTCGCTCAGCGACGGACGCGATGCGTGTGGGCTCCAACCCCAGAGGCCCAGATGGCCCAGAAGCCCCGAGGCCCGGCAGGAGGGCGGCAAGCAGAAACGAGCCAGCGCCATGGCCGCCTTAGCCAGAAGCCCGCACGAGATTGGCTCCGAGTTGCCAAGGTGACCCCGATGGCTAGGCTGGGTGGTGCTCTCACTGCTCGCTCTGGCTCTGGCTCTGGCTCTGGCTCTGGCTCTGGCTCTGGCTCTGGCTCTGGCTCTGGCTTGGCCTGGACTGGACGCTGGGCTGGCATTGATCCGATGAAATCTCGCGGGCTCATGCGAAGCAGCTGGCCGCGGCGCATTCCCATTCCATCCATTTGCTGGCTGTCCCCTCCCCATCTACGGCTTAACGCGACCGCAGCATTAGAACGCTCGCTACGGCATCATCCATCCATCCATATCTTTTCCGCGTACTTGGGTTTTAGGGGCACGGTTGCTGCCATGCCATGCCACCACTGCTACCGCTCCGTGCAGAAAGTTTGGAGGACAGATCAATCCCAATAGTGGCCGCACGTCCCCCTGCAACGACTCGATCGATACTCCTTGTGCTATCCAGCCCAGAGCAGAGACACAGGCCGCCTAGCACCCTTTTGGACTAGCTGTGGGCGAAGCTGTGGCCTGCCTGGGCAGTTTCATCGCTCATCGAACAAAGGCGAGCCAGATTCCCGCACGTCGGGCTTGCCAGGTCTCGCCAGACCGCGGTGCGACGTTCGCGCCAGTCAATCTATCTATCTACATGTACATCTGTAACCAGGGTTGTAAATTAGTATTTAGTATTTAGTTACTAATTTAGTATTAGTATTAGTATTTAGTATTTTTAGTATTAGTTACTAAAAAATTAGTATTTGGAATACTAATACTAAAATTTTAGTATTTTTAGTATTAGTAACTAATACTAAAAATACTAAAATTTTAGTATTAGTAACTAAAAATACTAAAAATACTAAAATTTTAGTATTTTTAGTATATTAATAATATAGTAAATTATTATTATTAAAAATATTTTTATAAATTTCTTTATATATTATATAATATAAATATAAAAATATATTAAATATTATATAATCTTTATAAAGCTTTTTATAATAATAAAATATATTTTATTATATATATATATTATATTATAAAAAAATA